TCATTTTCTGATGAAGGGTCTAGGCCCGAAACGTCAGCCTTCCTGCTCCTATGATGCTGCTTGGCCTGCTGTGTTCATCCAGCTCTACGCCTTGTTATCTCAGATTCTCCAGCATCTGCAGTTCCTACTATCTCTGATACAATTGTTGGTGGAACTCAGCAGGTCTGGCAGCATCTGTGGGAAGAAAGTAGAGTTCAAGTTTCAGGTCCAGCAACTCTTCATGTTCTGAAGAAGCATTACTGGACTTGAAACATTAACTCTGCTTTCTCCCCTTAAATGCTGCCACACCTATTGGGTTTCACCAGCAATATCTGTTTTTGATTCATATGGGCCTATATTAGCTGAGATATAAGAATACAAGAACAGGGAGGTTATATTGGAACTGTACAAAACACTGACCAGGACATAAAGGAGGTGTCTGTGCAGTTCTGGAAGGACATGATGTTGTAGAGGACATTTACTGGAACACTACCTGGGCTGGAGGGTCTGAGCTGTGAGGAAAGATTGGGTAGACTGGGATTGTTTTCCTTGGAGCAGTGAAAATTGAGAGGGACCTGATAGAGGGGTATAAGAACATGAGGGAGATAGATAGGGTGGATAGGAAGGCCGTTTTTCCATTTGTGGAGAAATCAATAAGCAGGGGCATAGATTTAAGGTCAGAGGTCGAAGGCGAAGAAGTAATTTGATTTTGGAGAATGTTGGGAATCCGGAACTCTCTGCCTGAATGGATTGTTGAATCAGAAACATTGGTAACATTGGACAGCATTTCGATTCACTTGCATTGCCATAGCCTCCAGGCCTCTGAGCCATGAGCTCGAAAATGGGATTTGTGTTGTCAGATCTTTGTGCAGACATTATGGGCTGAATGGCCTTCTTTTGTGCTGTAAAGGTTTTAGAGTGTATGAGTGTATAAGAACAGCTCCAAGAATGCGCACCAAGCTTAACACTATCCATGCTAGGTCAAATTCCTGGAACTCCCGAACAGCACAATCAATTCACCTACAGCACCATGGACTGCAGCAGTTCAAGGAGGCAGCTCACCCCCACAGTCTCAAGGGTGACGGATAGTAAATGTTGGCTGATCCAAGGACTCCCACATCCCATAAAAGAATTTTAAGAAGCCCGGTCATTGGCTCATTGTTTGCTGCTGGTAATTTGTCCTGAGCCATTCACTTGGTGACTGGTACCTTGCTATTTCCTTTCAGCCCCACAGGTAGGCAAAGGCTGGTCTGACGCCTACCTCAGCACTGGGGAGAATTGAATCCACCACGTTGACATTTCTGTGAATCCCACAATGGCTATCCTGCCCATTTGCCCCAGTGCATCAAAAATGAATGAAAATTTGAACAACAGTGCTTAGATGACATATTACTGAAAAGTGGTATATTGTGAAATGTTGGAATATTTAAAGAATTTGTGTAACTTCGAGTTGTGCAAATGACTTCTTGGCAAGCTCAGGGCTGATCTGCTGATTTTGCAACTCTCAATGTGATTGAGAAAGTTTGGAATGAGCTATTGGCCAGTGCAAAAGAATGTCAAATTCAACTCAAACAGCTCGAGATTCCATGATGCTCAGAAATAATTAGGGGAGTAAATGGGGGAATTTTCAAACTTCAATTAACAGGGGAGTCCCAACTTAGTCTCAGAATCCCTACAGCGTGGAAACAGGCCAACACGCCCAATAAGTCCACACCAACCCTCTGAAGACCATCCCACCCATCCCTTTACCCTATAACCCTGCATTTCCCATGGCTAATGCACCTAACCTACACATTCCTGAACAATATGGAAAATTTAGCATGGCCAATCCACCTAGCCTGTACATCTTTGGTCTGTGAGAGGAAACTGCAGCACCTGGTGGAAGCCCAAGCAGGCAATGTGCAAACTCCACTCAGACATTTGCCCAAGAATGGAATCAAAACCAGGTCCCTGGTGCTGCAAGGCAGCAGTGCTAACCACTGAGCCACAATGCCATCAAATCAGTGATTTGACCACAGCTACTTATATTTAATCAAGTTCAATCCATCGAAGGAGGGAACTGATGTCTTCAGTCTAAATTTGCTGAGGTTTCAAATATTCTTGGGCAATTCAGCTGTAGGAGGATGCAAGAGACTGGAATGTGGCCCACACAGCATCAGACACGTGATATGAAAACAGAAACTGGTGTGTAATTGGCAAAACGGGAATTTACCACTGAGAAAAACAGAGAGTTCAAATTTATTAAAACTGGTGGGAGATTCAAAAAGGTTAGGAAGCAGAGAGACTGGGTTGCAGGAATTACACAATTATAATACTTAATCAGAGTACGCAGTGGGCATGGTTAAGCAGAACTACATTTTACTAAAAATGGATTTGTGTAATCTGAAAAGAAGTCCACATACAGTTCCAAAAGGGAACATTAGGTCACCTTCTCGAAGCAAGTCCATGTTGCTGGAGGGAGGGAGTAAAGGACCTTCAGAAAACTGATTCCTGGGACAAAGGTATTGAATCCTGGAGGCATGCCCAGTCAGAGTCAGTGTGTGTGGAACTGTACTCCAGTGCGAGTCAGTGTGTGTGGGACTATACCCCCGTGAGAGTCAGTGTGTAGGACTGTACCCCAGTGAGAGTCAGTGTGTGTGGGACTGTACCCCAGTGAGAGTCAGTGTGTGTGGGACTATACCCCAGTGAGAGTCAGTGCGTGTGGGACCGTACCCCAGTGACAGTCAGTGTGTGGGGAGCCGTACCCCAGTGACAGTCAGTGTGTGTGAGCCGTACCCCAGTGAGAGGCAGTGTACGTGGGACTCTACCCCAGT